GATCGTGTATGCGCACTGCTGAGAAGTCCCACAATAGGACGAAATGGCCGTCCAGTGCTTCTAGGTTTTCCATGGTGGTCTAACTTTAATTGACTCATGACCTCAACTATTAATATATATATATATATATATATATTCACAGCAGAATGAATTTGTAGTTTCTGCTTTATTTACAAAAAAACATTTACTAAATACTTTAGAATTTTTGGCATGATTCATTAATCATAATCAGTTTTGACAAAACTGACCTTAATATTATGATATATTTCAAATATATTATGTACGTTCAATTATATTATCAGATTGCTGTATACTAGTTTACGTTACTACCTATCAGTATTGAATATGATTATACCTATCGTCTACAATAAGACAGCTTATTGATAAACATTAGGTAAAATATTGTACATATTATAGTACAGATGCATATTTATTCGAGACTGTTTTTACATCACTTTATAAAACAGTACATAATAAGACATTCTTTATAAAATTTGATCTTTATTTTATTACAGATATTATTAATCAGATTAGATTTCAAGCATAGATCTGAAAAAAACACTACTTAGTAATAAAGACCAACTACTATTGATTTGAGGAAGACATTTTCTACTCATAATTATTCATTTAATTATAATTAGTGAAGAAAATACAATAATCTTTACTGTATTATATCGTGTTAACATAGAAACTGACCATTTTTATTAGGATGATATTTAAGATATGTTTTAAGTTTTTATTAGAAACTCTTTACATGATTTTTATTAAGAAATATGATAAGGAATTTTATGAGTATTTTTGTTTTACGTGACATGATATTTTGCGTGACTCAATGTTATTTAGAATATATTCTGTTCAAAATAAAAAACTACAATCATATAGAGTGTAATCTTAGAAAATAAATTGTCTTCAGTATATCACATATTCATGGGGTATATCATATATGGGGTATATCACATATTCATGGGGTACTAAGTAAATAACTTATTGATATATGAATTATTTCATACGCAATATGAGTTAATTTTTTTTGAAATTTTAAGAATTGCTTGTAGTGTTAGTCGCTATGCCAAGCCTACACAGCATATTCTAGCTTTCGGACAGATCAGTTCATTCAATTTTTTGAGTTACATTTTGACCTTGTTAATTATTCACTTATCAGTGTTGACTGTTTTTATGTAATTGTATATGTGTGCATTTCTTATCTTACTTATCATATGTCTTTAACTTATTTTTGTTTGACTATAAATATCGATTCACTCTTGCTTCAATTGAGTTGGCTAACACGCCTTCTCCATTGAGCGTCATTTTATTTCTCTCTCTTCTCTTTGCTTCACCTCTCTGACTTTCTGTCCGGATCAATGGGTGTACAAAATATATGTATTTAAACATTATTCTCGTATTTGACTTGTTTAATTTCATTAGTCCCAACGCGATTTAAGTCGATGATTATCTACGAGGATCGTAGACATATATTACTAATTAAGAGATGTATACATGTTACGAATTAAGTAAAATTATTATCGAATATCCTTATTCTGGTCCATAACTTAATTCTGTACACTATTGTTTTTGTATGTTGACATGCTATTACGTTCAGTCAAAATTACTCATGTATAAATGTTTGGAGCTACATCAGAGAATTAATAATAAAGATGTTAGAAAACGGCATCATGTGATTGATTATAAGTCATTTGGTCATCATTAGTCAGATATCGCGAACCAAATATGAACGTAGTGACTTAAATGCTGTTTACTGTTTCACTTGATGTCTACTCTGATATAACTTACATATCTGAAGAGCTTCAGATTGTCCATCAATCTCTTTATTTATTTCAATACTTCATCTACTTTGTACAAATAACTTAGTCTATCAATTAGAATAGGTCGGAAAACTTTATAAAGACAATTATAAATAATGGTGTTAATGAGGATGTTGATGAATTACTCAACCAAATGATGATGCAAAACTCCTCGGAATCCTAGGATAGTAAGTAAACACCAATTACATGTCATTTATGAAACGTTGCTTCAACTAAAACAATGATGAGTAATGCATACATATTCATGTTTTAAGTCTAAAAACAAGATGTTAACCAGTATAAATTACTAAAGATTGATAACCAATACCATGGAGACACATAAGCGAAACAACACTTTTTTAAATATTGGTATTATCTGGTTTGATGTTATAGTATTACATTATGTTCTATCAAACCTAATGGATAACAAAACTTTTGAAAATTTGTCTTAAAATATTAGTTCAATTAAAGTTTCACTGTTTTAGTTGACAAAGACGAACGATTTCTAACACAGTTATTATTTGAAATATAAAATTGATATATAAGGTAAGTAGTAATTTTACTAAATAAAATTTTTTTAAAATGTAAACTTACGTTACATTTTCGAGGTAACTATTAGTTTGCCAAGAAAACACTCCAACAAAACTAGGTTATGGGAGCCAAAATATTAGTATTATTCCATTGGAGCTCTACTCCGTGAATTATTTTAATTACTCAAATGTTTACGGTAATACAGCAATTTAGAGATTGATATCGCAGTAGGTATCTATTCCGTTTTATCGAGAAATAAACACCAGATTGTTAATAAAGCAAGTTTTTGTGCATGATATTTTCAGTGAATAATAACTTAGTGGTAATAATAATTTCATGGGAACTTTGTTGCGAAGCTTAAGTGGATAAAATCAAACATAATGTCATGAATTTCTTGTTCATTTTAAATAAAGGTGTCATGCTTAGTAGATTACATAAGTAAAATATCTAAATCAAGTATTAGGTTTCACAATGGTTGGAACTTATTAGCAAGAATTATCTATAATCTTGTGATAGACGGTGTTCTTAAATAGACCTCTTCAAACTGGATTATAAAGACGCTTTCTCCATTGGCTACATTACAAATTGAAGTAGACTTCCATTGACACTACAAATAAACACCATTTACTTATCATTTCATATAAATTTGGCTAGACTGGAAATAACGGTATGAAAGTATTGTTTAAGATTATATCTATTAATGTGTATCTTCATTCAATACTGTTACCCTGATGAAAAGCATAAATGTGGCTATCTAAATTCTTCCACATTCAAAATTGCACATACAATAAAATGTACCAATAACTATTCTTTAAAATTTACTTAAAGATATAAACAATTTGGATTTGTAAGTCGTTTGTAACCGAAATGTCAATCAATTTCAAATGTTCAAAACATACATTCAACTTGTTGAAAGAATTATATCACCAGTTTCACCATGCCGAATATAATCAACTAGGAATAAAAATCGTAGGCACTACAAACTTTGTTTTTTGAAAAAAAAGTGTTTTGTCGACCAGTTTAGTATCAAATAATTTTACATTACATATCAATAGTGTGAATGATCATAAGTCTCAGAATCTATGGTCAATAGTTACTTCATTTCATAGATATTAATTTATAAGGAAAATAAAGAATATTTTGAACAGTATAGAAGGTCGTAATAGTTTACATTTTGTAGTTCTAGTGGATACACTTTCTAAATAAAAAAGGTTTATGGTATACAGTGGTGAAATCGCTTTGTATATATTAACTGATACAAAAACGTGGATAAAAAAGTACTATAATGGAAGTATGGAATTCACTTATTTCGAATGTGAGACCAGAATTATCACAGGAAGATGATTGCATAATCTCACTAGTTGTTTGAAACTATAAATGTGAACGATTGAATGAAAAACAAGTTGTCTTTATTTAAATTTCATGACAAGAAGCCTGATAGTCTTGAATTCAGTGTCAGAAGACATGGTGAAAGATTACTTCTCTAGAATCCTATACTTTTATGGAACAATGGTTCAATTTATCTGGTCTTAAATAGTTATTTGGTCAATATATGACCTGAAGTACAGGACTTCTACACTAAAACATTTTTACACTTACATCTACAAACCATATCTTAACCCGTGTTTTTTAACGAAAACTATATTTGTGAAGATCCATCAAGATCCATATTTTTTGTATTATCTTTATAAACTCGATTTTTCTATCAACTCAAGTGATTTTGCTGTTGGATACCGGCTCAGTAGTCTAAAAGTTGAGCGTTCACGCGCGAGACCGGAAATCTTAGGTTCAAGACCCTACTGCAGGATTGTGGATGCGTATTGCTGCGGAGTACCATAATAGGTGGAAACAAACATCTAGTACTTCCTAGTTTTTAATGGCGGTCTAACATTATCGGTTCACGATCTCGTTTATAATTTTACCTTATCTGAAATTGAATTCAAATTATTTTTTCATGATACATTCACCTACATAAGTACAAATACATATATATTATAACTTATTGATTAGTTCTGATTTACCTAAACATACGGAACAAGAATATCAGTAAAATCATTAATATTTAACGGGTTTTTTTATTACCAAGAGATAATATTCTATAACTGGAATGATCTTTTATTGAAATGAATAGTAAACGGATACAAACATTTTAATCGTTTTTTTTTAAATTTAATAAACAAATCAATCACATCAAAATCACTTTATGTTATTATTATTATTACTATGAACAAAATGTTAAATATGAAGCTACATCCGTTTCATATGTTGTCTAATCAAGAAACAACCCTTTTGAAACAATCAGAACACTTAACTATAATCAAGTAATTATTCATAATTTTTTTTATTTATTACAATCACCATTAATATGTTCCTTCCTACATTTTAACCCAAACAAAAAAAATGGAAAGTGACATTCATAATTTAAATGGTATAACTCATGAATAAAACAACATAGAGATTGAAAAAAGATTACAATGTAAAGATTGATAGATATATACAGATAACATGTTCTTCTTGTTTTGTTTTCATCCTATAAATCAATTTCAGAAATCTGATTGAATAATTTCCTTTTAACCAATCAAATAGATATCATTTGTTAACTAGAATTTAAAACCGAAAAAAAAAAACAAATAAGAAAACAAACATAATTTATGTAAAGAAAAGTAAATTTATGTCATATTTTTTTACTGAAAAATATTTTTCTTTAAATTAACTTAACTATTGAGAAAGTGTTTTTTTTGTGTGAAAGAAACCAAAGAAAAACTATAAACAAACAAACATTTACACAAAATGATTAGTTATAAAATGAAAATTAAAATTTATGTTTTATCCATATCATTAAATTAATGTTATATATTTGTTAGAAATATGTCATATAATATTCAAATGACTACAGTTTCTTCATCTACATTTCAATCAACTACATTAAATAATTCTTATCCTACTACTATTACTACTACTACTACTTGTGGTACTACCACTACTACTAATAATGATAATACTTATATACCAACTACAATATCAAATACATTTCAATCACGTATTCAAACTGATTTATCAGATAATCATTATCTATTTGATGTACATAAAACAAAAGATGATTCTATGAATAATAAATTATATACAGTTGATCATTTATTAAAATCAACATCAATAAAATCAAAATCGAAACGTTTAGAAAAACATGTTACATTATCTGATGAAATATTAGATGTAAATTATCCACCATTTCTTCAACATCATTATATAAAATCTAATGATTATTATAATAAATTTAATATTGATAATTTAGATAATAAAAATAATAAAAATTTAACTAATATAGATCATAATTATCCATTATCAATTAATCCAACTATTCCACATATGTCAACTGATAAAATAAGTACAGCAAGTCTTGGAAGTATGGTAAAATATTGTACAGATATTCATGGTAAGTTATTCATTGTTTAGTAAACAAAAATGTTATATTTTTAATAGATAAATGAAAAAACAAGTTGTTTGTTTTTTGTTAGAGCTTACTGATCTCAAAAAAGTTAACAAAAATGGTAGTATTGGATAGGACAAATGTTATTATGCGTAGGAAATTCTTGTAATAATTTGAAATAATAGAAAACCTTCGTTACAGGGTTTTCTGTTAGTCTGTTATATCTTCATCCTTGAAATTAATGAACTAGATTATGTCATATGAACGCATGTCAGACAGTGTCAAGGTTAGATATGTAATTATTAACCTACTGACGGCCTACTATGAGAATAAGATATTACTTACTGATAATTAAGTAGTAATCAATGTTACGTTTGTTTTTGACCTGGTACTGATTGAAGTTCAATTTTCAAGTTTTGATGATTGTTGTCCCTTATGATTTAACTAATTTTGAAATTATTCCATTGTTGTCATTTATGTTCTAAGAAATAAACAACAATCAAATGTTTATTTAACATTTCGAGATTTCTCAAAATCAAGTGAGTAGTAATTTAAATGCCAAACAGCTGCATCCTAGTAATACACAGTATTAATTTTATACACCCTTTTATTGATATGTAGCCTCACTGCCTTATACACTCTGGATTTCTTAGAGAAAGTAAATGAAGGTATTGATAAATCGTATTATGAAACTCTCTGTTTTTAAGAAAGTAATATTCGAAAACTCGAACAACAACAGTCAAAGAGACATGGTAACCTATGAAATACATTTATATTTCGATCGTTTACCGCTACAAAAATGTAGAATGAATTAGTAGAATGATATGATTTCATATCTCGTTCAATTCATTTTCGACAACCTTCTTATCTAATGAAATAAAGAGTTTTTTTCTTTACAAAAGCAAAATGATTTGTTATGTAACATGCTAAATATACTCATGAAGATTTTACTAGATGTTAAAGTGGAAAAGTTCAAATAGGTATGCAGTTTTTTAATTTCGAATCTTTCTATTAACAATATACTATTAACGTCAATAACAGATAGTTATTTGACATTTAAAAACAAACATTTTCCCCTATAGATATCTGTGAATCACAGCAAGATGAAAAATCTTTAGTTCACAAATAATAAGAGTATACAATCATTGTTGTGTAATAAATTGGCAAATAAAATACCCCTGTAGTGAACGAGCACAAAAGTGGGGACTATCGAGTGTTTATGAATACAAAAAAATCTGAGAACTATACAGTAAATAATCCATTTACACGATGTCAATCACTCATCTCAGACTACATTGTTATTTCGTTTCCGCACCAATCATTCTATGTTCTCGTTCTCTTTTCTGTCTCCACGCATTTCACTTTCGGTTAATGATACATACTACTTATATCTGTCGACATCAGTAGCACACACTGCACCCCCGGCTGTTTCTATCTTCATGTGAAATATTTTTTTACATTTATTGATAGATACCAGTCATTTTAGGTGTATTTTTCCACTTTAGATCTATTCAACAATTTAATAGTTTATTGGGTCACGACATTTTCAGATTTCACATTGTAATTTTTATGTAAGGGAAAAAGAGATGAACTTGTATTTTTGTATTCTAATGGCTGCGTTGTGTTGTATGAAAACATTGTTTCTCAAAAAACTGGTACTTATAAATATATTGAGCAGAATAGTTATTTTTGTAATGATATATAGTTTCAATTATAGTTCCCAGACATATTCCAAGACGGCGACATTGTGTTTGTATGTAGACTATTCGATATGCTTCTGAGATAGTAATTACTCGTAATTGGGCGAAATATTTTTCGCTTTCAAAAGGTGCACTTAGTAATGAAATACAGTATATAGGTGCATAAATAATGCAAGGTTACATTTCCTGATCGTTCCAGTTACACAGCAAGACATATAATTCAACTTTGAAGAACGATTTTCACTTATAATAGTTCTGAACCTGTTATCACTTTTAGATATCGAAAAATAACTATAATTTAGTTGGGTTTTTTAATGTCCGCTCTGGGTAAACTAAGCTAGGAAAGATGTTTCATCAGCGAAAAAGATAATTGACGTAGTTAAAATAAGCACATCTTGTAGTAAAGTTTGTGTTGGTTTCCTGTTGAGATTTTTAAAAGTCAGCTAACTGAGAGAGTAGTTTATGTGCACTATCAAAAGACTTTTCAGTAATAGTATAAATATTGAGATGACTACGTGATTACTAACTTAGTAAGAACTGAGCAAAAAATAAAATTTTGAAAAGAAAAGGAAATTAGTAGAGTTGAATGAAAGCAACAATTAATTAACTAATATAGAATTGATGGAATATGGCTAGCAGTATAATTCATGATACCCATTTTGTCCTATTTAGGACTCGCGACTGATTATACCAGTATCCCGAAGTTGATGTCCACTCACGGATTCGAACCTAGCATCTTTTTCTTCAAACGCCAACTCGTTATTTGATTAAAGACTCAGTTGAGACAATGATTCACTTGTGTAACCTGCATAAATTTTAAACTAAGTTTTATGATTTGAACATTTCCATTGTTGATGTATGATTTAATTTATATCAATCTTAGTTGGTATATATGCATAAGCTTGTTTCATAATGACAAATCTCAAGAAGATCCGTACAAGATGCACATATTCTAACTAAGGCTGATTAAAATTCAGTTTGATTATCTATAAGGGGATAATTCAAGGTAATAAAATTACTTTAATATCCACGAAACCCTTTCTGATATTATAAATTAAATGAATTTGTTAAAACCAACTAAGAATTATTTTCACACAACGCAAACCAATATCCATAAGAACGGTTGTTATAATCTCAGTGAATCTTATAATTTACTTCAATAAAATAAATAGAAATCAGTGTACACAAATGATTTTTAGGTTATCACAACTTCGACATATTTTTCAATTACAAACTCATATCACAGTTGTGAAATATTGGGGATTTTTCATTTATTATGTTGTGATGAAATGATTATTAGGGAAAACATGTGTTAGGATGATCCTCTTCCGAGAATCGATAAGTGAGTTCAACATCTTTTGCTACTGAGTAAGAGATATATGTAAGAGTAGAATTTTCACAGAAAATTTTCTTTCAAGCACCTAAGTTTATCAACATTTGTCTATCATGAACATACCATTGTGGAGAATCCCAACATACCGGGTGAATAAACACAAATGTGGTATAAGTTAAGGCTTGTAGTTTACTCTTTAGTAAAAATCACACTTTTATATGTAGCAATGATCAAGTAGTTAGAAAAAAATACCCAGAAATATTTCATACCATCCATTAATTGAAAAATGATAAAAATTATGGATAACGTCAGCCGAAACACCGCAAAAATATATACCGGATCCTAAATACTTTAATATCTGAATAACACATGCTAAATATCATTATTCATAATAATAGTAATAATATAAACTAAGAATGCCGGTCAGTTTAAACGTTATCTCTCAGTCTTAACCAGTTTTAAGCACATTGTATGAGAAAATGAGCGACTAGGTAACCGAAAACGCTTCTATTCGAGTTTATTGAGTGTAATTAACTCCTTTTACTTCTTATTTCTGGTGATTACAATGGATCTTAGAAATTTTGTTTTACTCAATTTTATCCCCAAGTAACAGCATTTTTAGGAGTAAACTAAGGATGACTTGGTAAATTCCTTTCCAACTAATCTACACATTGAAGTCTATACAACAACATAAACTTTTCGTACCGTTGAACTAATGCTCCAAAATGGTACTTCCAGAAGATAAGAACATTCATTATCTGTTCTGTACAGAAAAGGTCAAAGTCACTTAAGCATACGGCAAAGAAAAATTATGAGCTGAACTTATAAACTAATATGAATCTTCATTTTTTTCAATGTTTTTCATTTAAGGATTAGTTATTTTCAGTAGGTGAGTTCATGAGTCGATCTAATCTCGTTAAAACGTAAAAACCTTTAAGCACTTGTTGGACGTTTGATCCTGCTTTGGAATTCCTCAGCAGTGCACGCTCACGATCCCTCGCAAAGGACTCAAACCTTTAACCTTCGATCGCGCGCTCGAACACATAACTTATAGACCACTAAGCCGTCGTCCAACGGTGTTAATGTCTAGTTTCATAGTCTTGCGCGACCCTTCATTCTATGTTTTCATTGTTTTTTTTCATGAACATATAATTTGTAAATGTCTATGCGAACCAACACAAACTGAACACTGTTAACTTTAAGTGAATCACATTAACAAATTCCAGTCGTCATGTAAACGTTATCGTAAACATGTTTGTTACTTAATTCTCTCAATATGAATGATTTCTTTAATCACTATTGCACATAACCAAATATGTCAATTATCAAACATAATTATAACCTTTAAATTTAATCAACAACCATATTGTATTCACTAAAATACATAAATAATTGTATTCATATTGAATAATACAATACATATATAATTATAACATTGTCAAAGTATACTCTTACATATCACTGTGACGGAAACTATTCAAATAGCTATAGCCTATTACTACTTTGTAATCCAGTTTTGTTTTTCTGTTCAATGTGACTTTTTTGCTAAAATATAAATTTAACTGTTTAAAACTTTCTAAATTTTAACAAATCACTAGAATTCACTTGAACTAGAATTTAGACTCTTATCTTAATATAAATGAATAAATTGTTAACATGTGATTTGAAATTAAAATGTTTCTTCCCAAAAAAGAATGCCAACTTAATTGTTTATTTATAACATGTATGATTGAACAAACAAAGCAACCAACATTATTGTTGGTTGAAAACGTTTTATGAAGTCGTATTTTATCAGTTGAATTTGATGGATTATAAACGCTTGAGACTGTTTGTAGGTACAAAAAAAGTTTATGAAAGCCTATCATTTGTACATGTCCTGTAAATCTTTTTCAACTGAGGTGATTGGCATATGTGTTATTCATGGTCAATAATTACTTGACTCAACGGACTGTGTTATCTGATGTAAGTGTTTT